TCTGGTCTTGCCCTTAACAGCAAGACATCCTTCCGGTTTCCAGATCTGTAGATTCCCAACCTTGCATTCACCTTCATCGCCCTACTTAGGGAGCCCTATAGACGGTTCTTTGCCCCCTACAAATCCCCCTACAAAAACTATCACTGACTCTGTGTGTGTGTGTGCGCGCACACGCACACACACACACACACAAACTGTACACAGAGTTGGATGTCTTCAGTTCCCAAGTACTCCCTTGGGGGGGTGGGACACACTCAGCCTTAGAGACACACATCCTAACCATCACTTCATGCCATTGCTATGTTGCATCCCCATTCTCAAACCCCTGGGGAGTACACATCTTGCTTCTGTCCTCCATCTCTAGATCCTGCTGGCCAGACTCCCGGCACTTTGCCATTCCTTCCTGAGTTTCCTCTCCCCTTCACCCTCTGCTCATATCCCCATCCACTAGGGCCTGTGGCTGGTTGCAGTGAGATAGAGCCTCCTCTAGGGGGAACCTGGCTTCTTCCTAGGGAGCAAGGGCTAGAACTGTGGGCTTAGACGGATATCCTGGGATTCGGTTCCATGTGGCTACATCCTGCCTGCTCACACCCGCCCATGCCCAGATTTACAGGCTAGGAAACTGAGGCACAGAGAAAGGAAGTCATTTAAAAAAAAAACAAAAAAACTTCCCAAATGAGCCTAGGTTTGTGGTGGGGCAAAGTCTGGGTCATGTTGTAGCCTGGTTGTCACACAGAGACCCGGCCCAGAAGGACCCATGCTGCTTTAACGGGCCCTATAGCCAGAGTGTCCTTGCTCCATACACCATGCTGCCAGGAAACAACCTCACATCTCAGAGGTTTATTTCCAGTTCTTATTACAGGACCCTAACCCCATTGAGCCCCAGGACTCAGACTATGAGAAACTTGGGCACAGGCAGCATCAGTCACCAAGACAGACAAGAATGGGGTTTCCATGTGCTCACTCAGACCATGATTATTTGGCCCACAAGCGGCAAGGTCACGGTGCCTGCATTTCAGTGGTTGGCAGTGGTTGCCTACTAACCCCACCTGCTCATAGCCCAGAGGGAGCAACCACACCCAGAAATGCCCGTAGATTTCAATTGGCCATTCAGTGACCTGCAGAGGTGACCACATGGCGCCCACCTGACCATTCACAACAGATCTGCACACCATCAGTCCCAACCTTGGCCTTGAGGTCTTTATCCAGGCATTAGTGTTTGCCCCCTACCCTGCTCTCCGTGCCAACCTGCCTCCCTGCCTTTGCTGAACACAGGCTTTATCTACGGGGGAGGGACGTAAAGTAGGTCCTCACAGCGACTCAATTACGCCTCCATTGGAAAGTCTAACACAATCAATTCAGGGAGCCGGCCGACATCATAACACAGTAATTAGGAACAACTTCCAACCCAGGGCTTCCTTTGAAGATTGTAATTGCAATTAATTAAACATCCTCACTGCTCCTCAGGATCTGCTCCTGAGGAAACCTGGGGAGGTGGGTCGGTCCCACCTCCATTCCTAGCAGCCTGGGAATCAAAGCATGGACCCGTCTCCTTTTAATATAGCGAGTCCTGGAGTCACCTGGAGTAGCTGTAAGGTGGAAGGGGCCCAGCCCCTTGATTCTGCATATGTACCCTGGACTCCTCCCTCATCCCCTTCTCTGGCATTCCCAGAAGGGAAAGGGCCCCGGGATGCCCTGCCTTGGCTCTGCAAGGTGATATCCCAGATCATATGACTGCTCTGGGTACTAACTGGGCACCTGTTGTGTGCAGTTCCACCATGTGTGTGCCAAGACAGAGGTCCTACCCCAGCAGGGGGGGTGCTTCATCCAGGAGTAGAGCCCCCATCAGGTGGGTGCATCCCGGGAATGATCCAGATAAACAGCCAGGCTCCCAAGAGGGTGAGGGGCCCTGGGAGACACTGCTACACTTGGAGCAGAGGACTGGCTAGACCTTAACATATGGGAACATACAGGAGGCATGTGGGTCTTAGCTCAGCACCCTAGCTCCTTGAAATCTGGGGGTAAAGTGTTACCATTCAAGGCCAAGCTCTATGACCCTAGAAGAGACACTTTTCCCAATTTCTGAAGATAATTGAAAGCTCGTTTGGTTTTTGAAGTGTTTGCTTGTGTGTGTTTGTTTGTTTGTTTGTTTGTTTGTTTGTGACAGGGTATCACTGTGCAGCCCTAGCTGGCCTGGAACTCACTGTGTAAACCAGGCTAATCTTGTACTCACAGAATTCAGCCAGAACCTCTGCCTTGTAAGCACTAGAACTTAAGGCATGTGCCACTATACCTGACCTTATCTGAGGCCTTGTGATGGTCAGCTTGGCCAGCTTGACACAACCTAGAATCACCTGAGACGAAGGAGGGTCTCAGTGACAGGCTGCCTACATTGGATTGGCCCGTGGCTTGTCTGGCGTGTGGGAGGGTTGTCTGAATTAAGTACATGGATGTGGGAAGATCCAGCCCACCGTAGGCAGCTCCATTCCCTAGGCATGGGGGGTGGGGCGGGGACTGACCATGTAAGAGCGGAGGACTGGACTGAGCAGAAGCAAGCAGTCTTCGTGCTCTTGACTGTGGATCTGATGTGACTGGTTATTTACAATTCCCTCCTTGACCCCCCCACACACACACACAAGGACGGACTGCAACCTAGACTTGTTCACTGAACAAACCCGTTCTCCCCCAAGTTGCTTTTTTGTCAGAATTGTATCGCAGCAGCGGGAAATGGAACTAGGACATGCCTCCTATATTTACGATCCAGACATCATGAGACTTGGAAGGAGGACAGCTGGAGCCAGCATCGGTGCTGGAGAGGAGGGGCCCAGAGTCCCGGAAGCCCAAGCAAAGTCATGCCAGTGGCCGTAGCAAAGACAGCACTGTGAGTGTTCCCTCGCGTGATGAGGAGAACAGGAGAAGCTCAGGCCAGGAAAGACTGCCCAGGACTCCCCGCCTCCACACCCCCATTTGAGAGCCCCTAGAGGCTGAAGCTACCTTCACAGCCCCAACACCTCTCAGCACACACACAGGTGTTTGCCCAGGCTTTACACAAACTTCAGAGGCCCCATTTCTCAGCTTTGGGGGACAGAATGCTCCCTGGGGGTACAGGGGAAGGTGGGAGATTTAGCAGGAGCCGGCCATGGAGTCCCACCCTTGAATTCCTTGCCTATGGCTCAGCTCCCATCACCCTTCCCAACCTTTCCCACTGTGGACTGGTCTCTAGAGAGACAGTGATTAAGTGCTTGGCTTCCTGTCCCTGGGAGCATGGCTCTGCGGCATACCCAATATTTCCCAGCCTTCCTGCCATAGGGCCTGACTCAGATGGCACAGACTAGTGTCCACTGGTGTGTGGCCATGCCTGGGACATGGGGACACATTCACCAGCAGCCACATTTGAGCCCCGGCAGCGTCTAAACATGTGGCTGTTCTTTCTGAAGCAGCTCATGGAAGCCAGTGGCCTGTGGGTGACGGTGGAGGTAAGTGGTATGTCAGTTAGCCCAGTGGAGAGGCAATCAGGGCACACCCAGCAAGCTGGAAGACGGGGCTTCTGTGACAACCCTAAGCCCAGGGAGCAAACCTTCCCTGAAGATGGTGTCACTGGCCATTCCAATTACCTGGTCACCCCATCCCTTCTGTGGTTGAAGCCAGCCTGAGCTCAGGCTCTAGCCTGGTGAACTCCTGCTGTGGGGGGAGGAGGGGCTTTGACCCTTGCTGCCATTCCCTGGGATTGCCTAGCCTTTGCCTACACTGTCCGCTCTGCCTTCAGCACCCTTCCCTAACCACAGGGCAAGCTCCTCCTCACCCTTTCATTCTTAGCTGAAGTGCCGCTGCCCCCTCCAAGAGGCTTTCGCATCCTGCTTGAAATAGTTCGTACCATTATTTCTCACGTCACACTCCTGCACCTCCTTGTGATGTTTAATTTCCTGTTTGATAACTCATTTGGGGAGTCTTGGGTGCCCTATATTCTCGGATTGGACCAAGGCTCCGTCTCTGAGCTCTGAAAACACCTGCCTTTGAAAACTATTTTGAAAATAAATTTCCAGAAAAGTGAGGTCAAAAAAAAAAAAACATGAAAAGCACAAGCCCCAAATGTTCGTTAATAAACCATAGTCATAAAATGACTCCATCGGTGCTGTGAGAGAGGAGGCGTGTGCTCCGTCCCCCACAGGGCAGGATGACCTGGGGGACTTACTGGCCTAAAGGACTCCTCAGTATGACAGGGAGGCAGTGATTAAGTGTTTGGCTTCCTGTCCCTGGGAGCATGGCTCTGAGGCACGTTTTCTCAAAAGCCAGAGGGTACCACCGCCTCCAGTTGCCCACAGTGTAATCTGCTTTACCTCTGGCCCCCTTCCCTACCCAGTTGGCTTCCTTGATGCCCTCCCTGTGTTCGGAGGATGACCTCCAAATCTAGATGCTGGTTTTAAGGAGCCTGAACAGCTAATCTACCATACGAACAGGTAAACACACTAGCAGAGTCAAGATGGATGCGGCCCCATTAGCCATCAAAAGCCGGGGAGTGTTACAGTGACTCCATTGGACGGCTCTGTAGAGTAGAAGAGATGCCCAAGGTCAGAAGGAGCCCAGAGCAGAGGCTGTAGTCCAGGCCAGTGCCGTAGAGGAGAGGAAGAGAGGCCCTCCTCCACAGCCCCAGGCTGTCTCCGGTACTGTGCCTCCTCCCCAACCCTCCTCCTCCTCCTCCTCCGGAGCCCCTGCTTCTCCTCCTCCTCCCCTAAAGTGAACATTCCGTCGTCTAAGTTAACTCTTCTGCCAGCACTTGGGAAATTTTTTTCTCCCCAGGGCTGGGAAATTATAAATAACTCCTGGATTAGAAGAAACAAACAAAAAGCACAGGCAAAATCTGAGTCCAGATGCTCTTGTGTGGGAACGGGCCTCCAGTCCACCAGCCCCCCTTACACCAGGAACGCAAAGCCTCCCAAGCAAGAGCGAGCCTGGTCATCTCATTTAAGGCCAGTCAGTCATACTGCTTGATGCCCCACGACTTAGAGAAGCCACCAGGGCTAGGCAGTCCTTCCCTGCAGCCCACTTATTATTCACACAGACTCCTGCCTGGAGTTTATAATCTAGAAAGGGACAAGTTGACAGCCCTGGTCGTATGTGCCCCATTCCAGGAAATCCTCTCAGATTTTCAAGGGAGATAGAGGGGATAGAGAGGAAGGCAGGTTGGAGGCTGTCAGAACTCCTTCCTGACACTGCCTCTCACATACTCTCCACGTCCTGTGCATCTCTAGCAGCTGTCATGGAAACCAGAGACGCTGTGGCTCTTGGAGTGAGGTGAAGGACAGCCAGCATCCAGCTACTCCTTGGAGGCCAGGCTGTCCTCGCCTTCCTATCTGCCAGGTGAGGTCATAACTACCCATCCTAGTGCTTCATGGGAGTGCCAACACCGGAGTGGTGGACCTGATCTCCCACCTTCCCTGGCTCTCTCTTCTCCCTCTCGTAGCCTGCCTGGGTCACCTTTTCCATCTGGCTCACAGACTCACTAGACGGTTGAGTTCGTGCAGGCATCGTGTCCGGTGCACCCCTTCCTCGGCTTCCCTGGCGCAAGGTGCTGGGCAAGGAGACAGGAGAGGCAGAGGCTTTATTCGCTGTCGCGGCCCAGGGCGCGCCAAGCAGGACGGCCCGCCTCGGGTGGGAAGGCACCAGCAGGCGCCAGCAGCACCAAGCCAGGGGGGCGGCCCGCACCGGCGTAGCTCAGCGCCAGGCGCTCCAGACGTCGCTTGCGCTCGGCCGCCTGCGCCGTGGCGTGCAGGGGTCGCAGCAGTGCGGGGGGCGGCGCACCGGGGCCGCGCAGCAGAAAGTCGAAGCCCGCGCGGTCCCGCGGGTCGTAGAAGAGCGGCCCGGTGGCCGGATCGGGCCCCGGCGGCCAGGCGAACGGGAAGGGCAGGGTGAAGTCCTCCGTGAGCACGCGGATGGCGAAGTCGTCCTCCTTGCCCAGCGCGCGGTAGGCGCGCCCGATGCCGCGGAAATGCGCCTCCCAGAGCTGCGCGTCGCCGCCGTAGATGTCGGGGAAGCGCGGCGCGGGGGGCGCAGCAGGACCTGCAGCGGGCGCGACAGTCAGCTGGGGGCCCCCACTCTCGTCTCCGCGCGGGGAGGCTAGGGGCGCAAAGCGCCGGGACACGGAAGGAGAGGCCACCCGGACAGAAGAAGCAGGTGAGGGCCACTCGGGAGTGAGAGCTGGGGCCCCCTCAACACCGAGGACAGCGCCTGCGAGGGCTGAGCCGAGGCTCTGAAGCCCAGATGGGACCAAGGTGGTCTGCCTCTATCCCTGACCCTTTTCCTACCTCCTTGGTCACCTCTCCCTCCAAAGGGGAAGTTGTCCACTTTGCTGAGGGACAGCATCAACAGGCTGTGGAGGCCAGCAAGGTCCTGAGAGTATGAAAAAAGTCAGACCCCTGGGCAGAAAGTTCGAGATGGGAAGGGGGGCAGAAAGTTCGAGATGGGAAGGGAGCTAATTTGGCCAGAAAGCTCAAGATGGTAGGATTCACCCAGCAGGTGGTGGGCAAGCAGCAGTTGGAGCAGAAGGTGACTGAATCGCTCAGGAGAAACCACCCTGGCTGCTGTGGATTCAGTAGACTGTGGATGGGCCTGGCCTGGGGTCTTCAGCTGGGTTCCCATGAGGAGGAAGTAAGGGTAAAGATAGCGGAGCACTCAGTCGGAGAGATGGAGTGCAGGAGCCTGGCATGGCAGCAGATGCTGGGGCCCCAAGATGGGGACCAGTCCTAGGAGATGGAGGACTCGGGCTTTCAGGTATGTGGGTTCCCACAATGCAATGGGGGTCAACATTTCATCTTTGCTACAGGCAAAGGTCTAAGAACAGGAAAGTCATTCAGGAGGACTGCAGTAAACCCCCTAAATGCCACACCCAAGTTGCCCAGGAACCTCTTGGTTATAATTCTAACAGAGTACACTTACTGAGCACCTGCTGTATGCAGTCAGGCTCTGGACTAGACACTGTCTGCAGCCATGAGCCAGACAACTAAGCCTGTTCTTCCACCTTCAGATAAGCAAATGCCTTCTTGAGTGGGCACCTTGGGCAGCCCTAGGGTGTTATGCCCGGAGGAGAGATAAAAGTGGAAGTGACCCTCCTAGCCTGCAGACGGCTGCATCCTCGGTCTACAGCTCAGAGGGCTAATGAGGTCCCTGCAGCCTGTCCTGTCTCCCCAGCCGTCTTCTGAAGTCCCTGTCTTACTGCTCAGTACCAGGGTGGGCTGCAGCCACCGAAGGGGCCGTGGGAATTCCTCAGAGGTGTCGGTGGAGAAATGCTTTGGAGAAGAGAGGGGCCACAGGCAGGCCCTGGGAGAGGAGACAGTGACCCCATCACAGTCCTGGGCTCGGAT